TCTGGCTTCTCGGCGCTCCCGACCTGCTTGCAACCTGAGCTCCGGATCGGGGCTTGCTGTAAGGCACTGTAAGGGTTGAGAAGAGGGCCACTGCAAGAGTCAGTATTATAGTTATAGTTACTATTGTTATTATTACTGTTATTATTATTGTTATTATTATTGTTATTATTATTGTTATTATTATTGTTATTCCGAGGGTTTCTCTATGGTCTGGCGGCTGTTTCGGGTCTGGCGTTGGGTGTCACAGCGTCTTGGTGAATTGTGCTCCAACCTCCTATGCAAGCCTGGCAATATCTGGAGCTTGAAGCAAAGCACCATACTCCCGATCCCAAACTCTAATCTTTAAGCCTGTAAATATCAGGTCAACCCTTGGGCGTCCAGACGTGCATTGAAGAGTGGCCCCTGCCGGTGCCACGAGGAACAGCGAACAGAATCCTTGGCTCTACTCTGCAAGACATGTGGGGGTTTCCGAAAATAGGGGACCCTAATATAGTACCCTAAATAGTAGGATCCTTATTATAAGGACCCCAAAATAAGGTACCCTAATTTTCGGAAACCCCCATGTTTTGCAGGGGCCACAACAGCTTCAAGAGCATGCTGCTGCACCGCTGTTGTTAGTTCGTCTTAGTGCAGTACTACCCTGGTCATGATTGAAATCATCACCGAAGTCTTCCCCCTTGGGATCTTACTTACGGGTCGTAGCTACGACGATATGTGCTGCACTGTGATCTGATTGGGTAACAGGCTTGGTGCCTAGTGTTAGGCATGGCACTTCCTCTTGAAGCTTAGTTGTTAATACCGCAACATGGGTTACGATTGCTGGTGTCCTGCAGCTTACTGCATGCTTTGCTACTACTTGTCCGGGCTCCTGCTCCTTCGAAAGCGGCTCTCTGCCACTCTCATGGCTCCAACTGGAGAGCTGCTGCTGCTGCTGCTGCTGACGAAGCGGCGCTGACGACCACAGCAGCAGCAACAACAACAGCAGCAACAGCAACAGCAGCAACAGCAGCAACAACAACAACAACGGCAACGCCAACGACAACAAGAAGGTGCAACATATGAGTTCCAGTCTGCCGGGCGAGTGCGAGGTTTGAAAGGCTGATCCTGCCGAAACTGAGCAGTCGGCCGTCGGTCGCGCCACGGTACCCCGAGGGGTAGAAGACTAACCGGAGGCCTTCGATGCCCGCAGCCCCAAAGTCCTCTCGGGGCGATGTTCAGACAAACCGAACCAATCAAGCCGAAAAGAGTCATTGTCACGGCACAACACAGCGATGCTGATGATGATGATGACGAAGATGACGACGACGAGGGTAACGAAGAGCATTGTCGTCCGTACTTCGTGAGTAGTCTTGCTGTCGCGGCCATTCTCAAGTGCGTCCAGATACCGCAACTTACATGCCGTCCCACCCACGAAGCCACGAAGCCGCCATAGAAGCCATAGAAACCGGTTCGCACAGCTTGCCCTGTCCGTGCTGCACATCGCCTCACCCTCGGGAAAGCACTGGCGAAGCAGCGATGCCTCGAGCAACAAAGCAGAAGCAAGCTAGAAAGAGATGCCTCGCAAGCACGAGTTCAGCTAACTTGACAAGGTTGTAACAACACGCGTTGAGGTGATGATGATGATGCTGAAAACGATGATGATGATCACGTGACCATGATCATGATGACCACGAACACGACGATGAAGAAGAAGAAGACGTTGACGGGCTCTGCTCGTACAGCCGGGGGTGACAGTCGTAGCGACGCTAAGCGAGGAATAGGATTAGGAGGATGATGCGCGAGAACACTAGTGGTGATCATGATGATGACGCAGGTAGCGATGACGAAGGTCTGTGACTATCCTCTGCATCCTTTTTTCTGACAAGTAGTGTCTGAGCACGGCATAATCACTTGAATTTGTAACTAGTACTACAGCGTATGCTTTTGGGATACGTGCACAGACAATACATAGCTCGACCCAACTGCGCCTACTTTCGACCTGCCGCACACAGAGACCGTTCGTCCTCACTCCCGTTCCGAGCTGAGGTGGCAACGTGCTCTATCCTCCACTCAACTGTTCGCACCTTCGGGCAGTCTTCGCGGTGCATGAAGTTGCTAAGCGGACAGTCCGGCGGCAAACCACTTCCTGGCTTTTCTGCTTGGGAGCTAGCCATCCGGCACTTCATGGTCTCGACTTGGTCCTTCACCTGTCATGCCAACACACTGCACGGCACCGTCGGTGTGAAGCACTCGCACAAGCCCCCCTGACAGCGCCAGCAACAGATATGACAGTTCTCGAAAAATAGTACAGGTAGTATACTTGTTTGGGAGTCCTTATTATACATATCCTCTCCTCTGGGCTTCTCCATTTGTCGGGTTTCCCAGTCTCAAATTTCTGAAACTCCCACAAGTGAAAAGTGTAAGCAGGCAAGAGCTGGCCAAATCAAGGAGGCGATTGTTGATGTGCATGGAATAGAGCAGCTGGCCTGGCAAATGGCGAATCGCAACAGAACGCCAGCGTCTGATGGAAGGCAAAAACAGGCCCTAAACCCCTGAACCCTGAATGCCCTTCTGAAGCTGCGAGCAAGTAGACGACGGAGCGAGTCAGTAGGTCGAGCCGGTCTAGAGAAAGCGTTTTCCCATTCGCAAGCAGCAACTCGCCAGATCGATGACAATGCTATCGACAAGGCGCGAGTTGTTATGCAACCAACCTTTCCACATTGAGTCGCTTCTGAGTCCCGCATGTTCCCTCCGCGCCTTCGAGTGGCTCTGGGCCGCCGTGGTCACGACCTCACGTCGATGGCAGGCTCTGGAACAGCCAACAAATTCCCGTCCTACCTTTGGCCAAAGCCATCAGTTCGATTGTGGCAAATGTGTCCACAACAGGCATGCGCATACTCGGTGCATTGGACATGCTGTCTGCTAAGGTGATTTCAGCTCATATTGTGGTTCTTGGAGCAGGGCTGGCCGCAACGACTGCCTCCACCTACACGACATGCAGGTCTGAGGCCAAAGTCATACCCGAGCCGAGAGTTCAATTCCTCATCCTCGGAGTGAAAGGCAACTGAAGCCACAGCGCAAAATCAGAGTTGATTGACGTCGCAATGCTCCACTATAGGCTCAACACCTACAACATCTCTGCAAGGAGGCAGATGCATTGTATGCAGTATGTACAGGCCGATGTGCGTATATCTCCGAAATCGGCCTCCGGCACAGGCTTGCCTTCGGCAAGGAGAGATTTCCTGCCAGGATTCTGGCGAGCCCTCCGGAACAGGGCAGGTTGTCATAGGAATGTTCAAGGAGGAACGGTTCTCATGCCGTGTAGCATTCTTGCAAGACCTCGTGGAAGATCCCGAAACTTGCCTAAACCTTAAGCCTAAACGCTAAAGCCCAAGCCCTACACCTTGAACCCGTCTTCCCTAACGCCTAACCTAAACTCCTGAACCCAACCCCTAATCTAAGCCCGAAACCCCTACAGTAATGTAAGGGCCTGAATGATTACAATAGGGTTTTGGGGGTTCCTTATTAGAACTATAGTATAACATACCCCTAAACCCTATTCCAATTATTAAGGCCCCTGCATTAAGCCCTGAACCGTAGCCGCAGTTGCCCGATCCTCCAGTCGGGTGGCTGAGGCGCTGCCGGCTGCACGGGGGCTTCGAGCTCCCGCAGGGTCTTGCCGCAGGCACGCCGAATAACAGATTAGAATAGGCTTTGTTGGGTTTGTTTTCGTATAATGATTTTCGGGGCCTTGGCAATGAGAATAGGGTTTTCGGCTATTTTCTAGTAGAGCCGCTAGATTAAGGAAGCCGAAGAAAAGTATCTTTTTCTTCTGTTGGCACCCGGGGGTTTTTAATGCTCGTGGGTTGACTGACGGTTGTGAGGATGAGGCAGGTCGGAGTTTAGGCTCTTGGCTTCGGGTGTACGGGTTCGGGTTTAGGCCTAGGCTTTAGGATTCCGAGGTTTCGTTATATTATTGTATCTTACACTATACTATAGTATTGTGGAGTATATCACGGTATACTATAGTATCTTATAGTCTATGATATTATACTATATCTTCGTATATTGTGGTATTTTAAGGTTCATGATGGTATGCAAGATTGATGATCAATTGCTGGCCGGGGTCCCGGAATTACTTCATGGAGCTGTGAATGCCTGCAACATTAGGCAAGAGCAAGACGCTAGGGTTCAGGGTTTAGGGGTTTGCGGTTTAGGGCTAGCACGGAGAAGACGAAAGGACGTGGAGAAAGAAGATAAAGAAGAACACAGAGGAAGGGAGGGGGAGGGCAGGCGGAAGGGGAGCTGGGCCGAGTGGAAAGTGGGACTATTAACATTGATTGGAATGTGAATAAACGCTCCGCAGATATGACAGTAGGCGGATGAAGAGCACAACATGCAAGGCAAAGAGACAAAGACAGGAAGAGAGAGAGAGAGAGAGGGAGGTAGCGAGGTTCGGAGGCCGTCTTGGCAACTAGCGCAAGCATGTGGGGGGATGGTGGATCAAAGAGGGACTCGTGCTGGGTCATCCGACCCGAAATCTGCCCAACCTGCCCTGGAGCCACCTCCAGCACTTCGCATGACACACGAAGAGTATCATCCTGGCACCACATGGAGAGGTGTGGGATGCCGATCGGTGCTAGGCATCTGCCGGCAGAGGGCAGAGCAGCTCCTCCTTGTTGATCTGGTCGGTGAAGAAGCAAAGACGAGTAGTGCCTGAAACTCAACCGACGACTTCTTTGACGACCCCCGACCAGGTTCTCGTTACTCGCTGCTTCCACGCATTAGCTTCCGTTTTCCTTCGGCCATGATCCAATGACACCTGAGAACCCTGAGGCTGACTATTCGTCCGTCGACCTCAGTCCCCGATATTGATTGCCGTATGGAGTAATTTAGCACCCTTAATAATTAGAATAGGGCTTTGGGGTATGTTATACTGTAACTATGATAAGGCGGCCCCGATATTGAATGAGGAAATCCGTGGAGGAGGTCGTCAGCGAGGCTCTGGCCGTAAGGGACGCGTCCATTAAACTTCTTCTCGAGGAGCTGGGACCTGGGCTCTGGGAAAACTGGGTTTTGCAGACGAGAGCAATGTGCGAAGAGCCTGCCAAGGAATAGCAATAAGAAGAATGGTAGTTCCATCAAAATGACAATAATCATGACAACCATAATAGTAATACTAATAATAATAATGGAATAATACAGTTGATGATATAAATCCTGCATTACCCATAGTAATGGAATATACCATAATTCCCATAGTTTAAGGTCCTTACGGTGACGCAGGATTTAGATCGTCAACAGTAGTTATAACAATAATCATAACAACAACAATAATAATGATGAATAATGGAAGAATCATGATAAGCACCCCGCTTGCTTCCAACCGCCAGTTTGTAGACCAGATTGCAGCCCTTGGTCGCCCAGAGGTACACGGCGCAGTCTCCGACCTGCGCCGGGGCATTGGAGGGCGGAGCGGAGCATCCCTTTCTGGTATACTATAATACTTTATCGTATGGGTTTAGATAGGGCATCTTATGGTATCTTAAAGTATTTTACAGTATATATTATATTATCCCGGGCCTCCTGGCCCTCCAGGGGTGGGTCCATCACGCGGAAGATCTGCGAGGGGAGCACAGCAAGGGCAACCACAAATGGCTCTGAGCAGGCCTGTAGCTCCAACTGCAAACCATGGCAGCCGCCCGCATCGAAGAGGGGAGAGAACCTACGGCCCGAACCAGCATACGTCATGCTACCCACGAAAACCGCAGAGCGTGGGACAGCCGTCTAGGCGCATCAGTCGGTGCATACCCCCGTTCTTGAATGTGCTATACAGGCTTTCCACTGGCTCGGAGGAAATCGAATCACATCATCCTGCAAACAAAACACTATTGTGTAAAATCTGCAAGCGGGTTTCAACGGCCGAGCCCAGTCACCAGCTCACGTGCGGCTGGATCTTCACGTCGTCCTCAGACATCTTAGCCGAAACAAGCCTTCTGCGACTGTTTTTTGACGGTAGCTTCGCCAGCTTTGCAATCTCTAGCCCATTGGTGCCGGTATTCATTCCCTGAGTTGGATCTTGCACAGCCGTGCATGGAAACTCCGCCGCCGCCTCAATGCCGCACTCTCCCAGCCCTGCTCGAATTCGAAACCCTTTCAAAACAACGCTGAACCCGCCAAAGTCTGTAGTGTATGACCGCGTATGGCCCTGGCCAGTAGAGGAGGCCGGAGTTTCTCCGAAGCTTTGCGGAGAACCCAAGTAACCTTCGTGGAGGGTGCAGGGTTGGGGAGGTGCAGGGTTCACGGCGAAGTGCTGGCAATACTGCAAGAGGCGAGATCGCTGTGTGCGCATTTGCGAGTCCGGCGACCAACCCGCACAGAAAAAAGCAATTCAGGTAAAGCAACTAGGGCCACTGCAGATACTTAACGAGATCCCTGCAACAGTCTCAAACGGAAACCCGACGTACGCGTAGACACAGACATAGTGAGACTGTGAAAGAAAGAAAGAAAGAAAGAAAGAAAGAAAGAGAGAGAGAGAGAGAGACAGAGACAGACAGACACAGAGAGACAGAGAGGGAGAGAGAGACAGAGAGAGAGAGTGAGAGAGTGAGTGAGTGAGTGAGTGAGTGAGTGAGTGAGTGAGTGAGTGAGTGAGTGAGTGAGTGAGTGAGTGAGTGAGTGAGTGAGTGAGTGAGTGAGTGAGCGAGTGAGCGAGTGAGCGAGGGAGCGA